GAAGGCTGCAATGCAGTCCTGTTTGCGTTGGAGGAGGGATCCTTCAGCTGCAGGACGTGAGCTCGGCGGCTGCTTGGAAGAGCGACGGCGCTCCGGCTTGGCGGGGGCCATTGCGGCGGGCGCTCTGGTGGGAGGGAAGAGGTGACGCGAATCAGTAGGGTCCTGCTGGGACCCCTCCGGTCTCGCGAGGCCTGGGAGACTGACTCCGAGGCGGGGCGCTTCGCGTCGCGGCTGCGGTCTGAGTGCAGGGCACTCTCGAGCCGAGACTAGAGAGAGAGAGAGAGAGAGAGAGAGAGAGAGAGAGAGAGAGAGAGAGAGAGAGAGAGAGAGAGAGAGAGAGAGAGAGAGAGAGAGAGAGAGAGAGAGAGAGAGAGAGAGAGAGAGAGAGAGAGAGAGAGAGAGAGAGAGAGAGGAGAGAGAGAGAGAGAGAGAGAGAGAGAGAGAGAGAGAGAGAGAGAGAGAGAGAGGAGAGAGAGAGAGAAAGAGAGAGAGAGAGAGAGAGAAGAGAGAGAGAGAGAGAGAGAGAGAGAGAGAGAGGAGATGGGGGGGAAGAGGGGAAGGAGAAGGAGAAGCTGAGAGGAGGCATGGGGGGGAGGAGAGCGAGGCGTGGAGGGGATACATAACATACACAGAGAGGAGGAAAACGACGGGGGGAGATTGTGGTGGAGGCAGAACGGAAGGAGAAGAAGGACGCATCTCCTGCACTGGCGACTGCAAGGGGTCTCCGCCGCACACGCCCTCGACGTCGGCCCCGCTCGCGCACAGGGTGTCTGAGGAGGCGCGGGGGGGAGGGGGCGGAGAGAGGATGCGAAGGCGAAGGGAGATAAGGGAAGGATTATACGAAGGAGAAGGATGATAAGGAAGCGGGCCTTCGTCGACGGCCACCTCCGCCACGGGAACGCGCTCGGCGCTCGTGGGCGGCGGGCCCTGGGACGCCCCCGCCTTCAGCAACTTCTGGGGCGGAGGGCCGTCGGGTGGTCTCGGGAGGGCCAGCGGGTGGTCTCGGGCGCGCCTGATGGCGGGGGTGCCATGTAAGTAAATGCGGGGGTTGATGGGGTGGCGGGCTGATGAACTGACGCAGGCCTGTGCTATAGGCGAGAGGGGGGTGGCATGTTGACATGTGCGGTCGCTGTGTAGTTGTTGGAATGATGGCGAGCTGACGGGGCGAGGGGGGGGGGGGGGGGGGGGGGCGCGGGCGGGCGGGCGGGCGGGGGGGGGGGGGGGCGATGAGGGAGCGGACGCGGGAGAGGGACGTTTGGCCTATCATAACACGACAGGGAGGGGGGGGGTGCGAGGAGGAGGAGGAAAGCGCGAAGTGGGAGAGGGGGGAGGGGGCGAATGGAGAAGGAGAAGGAGGAGGATAAGGAGGAGGAGGAGGAGGAATGAGAGGGGGGGAACGGAGGAGGAATAGAAGGAGGAGGAGGATGAGGAGGAGGAGGAGGAGGAGGAAAAGGAGGAGGACGTAGGCAGGAGAGGATTACTCTTGCGCTAGTTGGCAGCGCGAAGCGCATCCACTTCGTCATGGGCAAAGCGGCCCCCGACCAGGCCGCCGCGCGGCACGATCAGCCCCTGCTGATCAGTCACTAAAGTTTCGCACGAGCTCGAAATCCACCGCCCCCAAATCGGGGCGCCAGGACCTCCACCCCATACATGTTGCTTCCAATGGGCCCTCGACCTAACCAGGTGTGGATCGCAAAGCGTGCTTTATACCTACCGATCCCCCACCGCTCAGCAAGTTTTCTTACTGAAAATCAAAACGTGCGAGCCTATGCTAACGTTCCCTGCGGCGGTGGACATGAACCGCATGAAGTCCTCGCACATATAGCACCAAAGCACGCGCGGGTTCATGTGCTGGGCGCTCTCGCCCAGGTGATACATATAGTGGTGTTTGTTGACGGTGCCCCACTTGTTCCTGAGTGTTGCCTGGGCCAGGGACGCGAGCGCGCCATAGTGCACTAACGTATTTTCGACTGCAACTTTCAGGTATTGGAACTCATCGTCCTCTAGATACATGCCAGCGCCCATGGTGATTTCATAGTAGCGGTTAAGATTCCACAAACATTCAGTTCTCATCCTACGCGCGTCCGTCCCATCATCGTACTCCTCCACTGCTAGTTGTAGGATAACGGTGATCAAGCAGCGCTGTTGTGCTGCCTTGATCGATTTGGACATGCGCGGGAAGTCCGCGTGGGGGGCAGTCACTTGAGGGAACAGTTTAAACCAAATTGCCCGCTTGCCGCCGCAATGTCGGAGGCATTTAAAGCGCACGATGAGACAATTCCAGAGACAACCCACAACATCCAATACAGTTGACATTCTCGAGGTGTAGACATCGCACTAGCTTACGCAACGCTCGGACCACGCTAAGTTCACAATTCCTATGTGCATATTCTAGCCGCACACCCTTCCCACAATACCACAGATGCGTCGGCGGAGGCCAAGAGCCACAAGCACGATATACGGTACTGCGTATTCTGTTCGTCGTAAATGCCTTGTATTCTGGACCAAACGTGGGCCACGGCACTCTTGACACGTTGACCGTGGCGACGTTGCTCGTAGATAAATTCGTAGAGGGTGCCCCCTAACACGTGACTCGTCACTCCCAGGCCAATGCAGTGCATTGAATCGATAGCGATGGAATAGCTGTTAACTCCCCATATGCCAAAAGCAAAATGAGTAAACACGTAGGGCACCGCTCGCCGACGAGACCTCATCCAATGATTTGGGCGGCGCTCCTGAAGGGGTCGGGTGGTGGTCTGGATTTGGACGGGGAACCTCTAACGTGTAGGTATGGTCATGCATATGCTTATGTGAATGCGCATGATCATGCGCATGCATGTTGCGTGTTTCACATGCGTGCTAATGATTGCATGGGAACATGCATTTGGGGGGAATGAGGCTCCTCGACGAAATCGTTCCAGGGGTTGTCCTCGCGATCGCAATCGCACAACCAGCACGGGCTGTTCGCGTTCGGGGCAGGGGTCCCCAAATTATTGGAGAAGAATTCCACGTCCCCCTGTATCGAGTGCAACCACCCACGGAAGGGAACCCCCCCGCTGCAAAGCCCAGAACGGCTGGCCCCTCCAAACCGCCACGCCCTTCGGGCGACGACAAGCGCATCGACAATATTGATTGACCCGGCATGGTGATACCGTTTTATTGTTTCGAGCTGCTCCGATGCGTGGCGTCGGCGGCGCGTAGATTGCTCACCCCCCGATTGTATGTGTATTGTCTGCGCTGAAATGTGAGATGGCTTGCCAAGTGTCTGCCCCGTGGTGTTTCTGTTTTGCAGCGATGCTGCATGGGAACGCTGAAATGAAACAACACAGATCCCGCGTAGATCCTTTGGCAAGCAACCCTGTCCAGGCGGTGACCAGTACGCTGTCGGTGTTGATCATCTCCGCGCCATCTCCGTGCGCCCGAAGCGGTATGAACCACTTATTGCGCCCTCGCTCCCTCCAGATAGGATGGGAATGGAGCCGAGGGTCGCGCCTGGGGACGGGCGAGAAAAAAAACGACCAACACGTGCCACTTAAACGCAGAGGACGGCAAGCACGCACCGAAAAATACACTGACAGCCTCGATATGGCAACGCACGGGGCCCTTTCGTGTCGCATCCCACCCTTGAAACCAATGGCCCCGATTCGGGACCCCGCATTCTTTGTTTTTTTGCTAAATTCTTTGTTCGCTTTATGCTCCCGATCAGTGTAACCTGGAAGCGCCGTCGCAGAACTGGTCCAAGTCTGATATTCCAAACTGCTGGTCAAAATCGGTGCGATGGTGGTGAAATAAAGCTGAAAATACATCGTGAGGGCATATAATTCCGCCATCGCCCTCGCAACCTCACACTACCGCGGTTTCAAACGCGGAACTCGAACGACCTCTGGAGCTGGCAAGGTGGTATCTCTCAAGTATTTCGTTGTCAATGCTCGGTAGATGTTGCTCGGCTGGGTGCCCCATGCGCCCATCTGGGCAATAGACAGAACTTCGTCGTTCTTAAGCCCGTCTTGGTGAGCGGCCAAAATAAACTTGCGCGCCTCGGCGGCGCGCAGGCGGCCCCAAGCCCATTGGCTGAGGACAAGACTGGAGAGGTTGGACCATTTCACAAGCTCCACGGCCTCTACTTCAGCAGGGTCAGGGCCATCAGAGCCTGCGGTGCCGGGGTCGGGCGCGGGGTCTAGTCTCCTCTTCTGCTGTCTCGACATGCTCGAGCAGAAACTGCAATGGCCCGAGGGGCCCCAAATCCCCTGTATCACCACCCTTTTCACGAGTGTGCTGAATTGGAACTATTGTGGTTTCTGGGGGCAGGGTAGAGGTGGATGAGGGGCTTGATGAAGGCCAGAGGGCTCGAGGGCGCAAGCGAAGCGCGCGCGGCCCCTGGCAGTCTAGGGCCGACGCCGCGGCCGCCGCGGCTGGCAATGACAAGTCCTGGACGTTTCAGAGATCTGGCACTTGAGCTCTTGAGCCCTTGGAGCCCTGGAACCGAACGAAAAGAACATACATTGCCAGCCGACGACCCCGCGCGATCAGAACTCGCCCCGAGGTGTTGAAGAGCACGCCCATGCCGACCACCAGCTTGAACTGGTCCTTGGCTTCCATGATCGTCCTGGCGGCCTGCGGGATCTTCGCCGTGTCCTGCAGCTGAATGTCCCCGATCGCAGGCGGCAGCTTGTTGCGGATCGCCACGAGGAGCTGTGGGCGATCATCTTCTCTCTGGCGCTGCGCCGCCACGCCTCCCCTCTGCCGCCGCCGCGCCCCCTGGCCCCCCAAGGGCCGTCTTCGACGCCGCAGTCCGCCGCGGACTGCCGTCTCGACACCCCACCCCCCCTTCGGAATTCCAATTTCGAGGGGAAGACGCTTTCGGGCATCGAGACCAGGCAGGACGGGCCCTCTGGACAGACTGGAAACGGCCCACGGATCCAAAGTACATGGGGCACATGATTTGACTACAAATCAATGGCACAACGATTAAAAGAGCGGGCCTTCTTCGCCTTGGGGACGTCGACCGCCCCGCGGGTGCCGCCCACCTCCTTGATCGCGGCCTGCAGCCGCTCCACGACGACCTGGGCGCCGACAGACGTCGACGGGAGCCGTTAAGTTAAATCAATTACGAAAATGGCCGACAAAATCCCGACGGGGGAGTTAGCCCATTGCTAAGTTGGCAGTAAACTATTCAGTTAGCCAACTACTGCGTTGGCCAATTACTAAGTTGACCTAAATTGATCAAGCGGGGGACCGTGCCCACGCTGTAGAAGTCCTTCGCCACGCAGGTCATGTGCTTCTTGTCGATGTCCAGCACGGGCTTCGCGACGTCGTGGATCGTCTTCTTCTTGCTCCCCTTATCAGGGGCCCGTTTGCATCAGATCTCACCAAAAAATGAAGGTACGCGAGGACCGGAGGTGGATGGAGGAGGAAATGGAAGGCGGCTAATGACGATGAGGAGGAGGAGAAAAAGGAGGATGATGGAGGGCGAGGTCAGGCAGTGAACGAGATGCGGAGCGGGGGGCCGTGAAGGCGGGGGCTCTGGAATACTCGGGGAGGAGTTGAAGGCCGAAGATACGAGGATATGAAGGATGCGCGGGGAGGATTGGGCATAAGCATGCACGTGCCAGCGCAAAAGAGTTGGAGTGGAGTGGGGCTGTCATTAGAGTTGGAGTTGGCAACGGGGAGATTATGGAGGGGGGGAGGTCTGGTATGGCTGGGTCGTGGGGATCGGGGGAGGGGGGGGGGGGGGCGCCGTGCCGCGCCCTGCCGAGCCGCGTCCGCCAATGTCGCGCCCGCCACCGCCGCGACCGCGCCCCCCGCGGTTCTCGCCAGCCCTCCTCGCGGCCCTCTTGGGGACACGCTCGCCGCCCGAGCCGCCCGAGTCGGCGTCGTCGCCCGAGTCGAAGCCCATGCTGTCGGCGTCCGCTGTCAGATTTTCGCATTGCTTGACGAAGTGCTGACGGGATAATGAAAGAAGAGACGGGCACTTGTCGGAGGGGGGCGAAAGGGCACGTGGACGACAACAGAAGTGGGCACGTGGGAAGAACGAACGGGCAGGACTAAAGAGGGTGGCGGGGGCAAGGCAGAGGACGTAGGAGAGTGTTTGGGGTTCCGTGATTTAACGTCGATGTGCGTTGCAGTTGTGTCCACAATGCGTCTTGGATTTTATTTATTTTTTCGAGGCACATTGGACTTGACATGTGAGACGGCCAACTGGACTTTATAGTCAAGGTGCATATGGCGTAATCGATTGGTCATGTGTGATTACATGTTATGTGTGTTTATTTTGCGTAGCCATGATGCGTGTGATTATATTTCTGTATGTGTGATTATATGTCCTGTTCTGTATTGCGTATATTGCGTAGTCGTGCTTTTTGCAAAAATGGGTTTCTGCCTCAAGCGATCACCACCCTCATCCTCCCTATCGGCCGCCTCAGCATCCTCCTCCTCTTCCCCTTCCCCCTTCTCCCCCCTTGCAAGTCCTAGCAACATGTTGAAAGAAGAAACGACAGTCCGATAGCAGTGTCCGCGCCGACCTTGCCGCGGGTGGTGCCACCGATCATCTGCCCGAGCTGGCCGTCCTCGATCTTCTTCCTGCCGCTCGCCGTGCGAGACTTCTCCCTGCTGGCCTCCTTGACGCACGAATCAGTCACGTCAAGGTACTCCTTCCTCTTCTTGTTGCGAGGGTTCCGCCTGACCTGGGCGAATAATATTTGCAACCATATTTGTCTGATTACATTGGAATGCACACGAGCTGCAACACACGCATACATGGCAACGCGCACAATCATGACAACCGCACACCACTAACATATCCCACTGGTTGCGGCGGAACGTCCAAGCGATATGGAACAACACATACACATGGCAAGACATGGAGGTCACCGAACACGCTGCAATATTGCAACATGATGATGTTTCGGCAAGCTTACATCGAGTGTCTGATGTTTCTGCAAGCTGGATCACACTAGCGTCGAATGATGTTCCGGCAAGCTTACATATATAAAAAGGCAGCCTGGATCTTGCCATCGTCGCGCATCTCCTCCGCCCCGGACTCCCCGTACTTGTCCACCATGGCCTTCCAGGGCACCCAGGTGGCCTTCTGGCCCACAGACTCCTTGAAGCCGATCTCCGCGCCGATGTCCCAGAAGCCATCCTGCATAGCTGGATCTTTGATCCAGGCCATCAAGAGCTTCTGCTTGGCGAGGTTCTTCTTCCCCCTGGCAGCGGGATCTGCCTGGCTGGGGCATGGCGTGCCAATTTGATTACATGTGCAAGCCGTGCAATATTTGACGCACCAACCAAGCGATTCAAATTCATAATCGGCGCGGCCACCAACACACTAGAGCAACCCGTACCTAGCGCCCAGAGGCCAAGTCACGCGACTCAAAACTAAGTTTGTGCAGTAACAACAATCATGCACCATATATGTGAAACGTGGTTCCAATATCACTCACGACCTTCTAATATCGACCATTACACTACTCTCTGTATTCCTCAAACTACCCTATCACTCAACATCTGAATGTGCTGACAATTCGGCGCGCATCAATGATCAAGACTGCAGGGTACCGAAGTGAACGCAGCGTCGACCCGCTGGTTGTCGCTCCTCTCGGAAGCGAACTGGCCGTAGAGCTTGCGCATCTCGCCCTGGGAGAACAGCCCGCGGATCTGGTCGGCGTCCGCGGGGTCCCCGTGCATCCCGAACAGCTCCACGCGCCCCTCGAAGGTCTTACCCTTGCCCTTCGCAATGAGCTTTGCCCTCTGGATGCCCATCTTGTTCGCGGGCACGATCTGCAGCTCGGAGGTGGCCTTGTCAAAGACTACTGCCGTGGCCTTCGCCTTGACCTTCGCCTTGGGTTTCGGCTTGGCCTTGGTAATCGTCTTCCCGACTCGCTTGGGAGCCATGGCGATCACCGTGCACGATGTGTCCCGAAGGCCGTGGCCGATGATTTGGGCCTAAAATCATATGTGTGCATGGTTGGTATTTCAATTACAAACTGGTATAATGACCCATTCGACCGCGTGTCGCGCCAGAACGCACCACAAGGAATATCAACATTACAGAATCGCATAGAATAGTATGTGCACAAAAACCACATAGTCATACACGCACGAACATATGAATAATGTTAACACAATGTACACTTGCATATAGTACATATATATATTGGTATAACTACATGTATAAACACATGTATACATACGTATTGTGGTCGTGTTCTGCGTAATTAGTATTCAATGATATTGTCATGATTTCTTACGTTTGCATACGTTTGCATACGTTTGCATACGTTTGCGTGTGTTGCCATACGTATGACATACGCATGGCAACATACGCAAACGTATACAAACGTATGCAAACGTATGCAAACGTATGCAACCGTATTCAAACAATTACATTTAATAAATTAACTCAATATAATTAAATTAATAACCCAATACTTCATGTACCCACCAACTATTATTATTATTATATATGTAAAACCTATGTAACACACATGAAATATTGATATGACAGTCATTGATGTCGG